TGGGAGGCACTCAGGACTGATGCCAGGAATGGGAGGCACTCAGGACTGATGCCAGGAATGGGAGGCACTCAGGACTGATGCCAGGAATGGGAGGCACTCAGGACTGATGCCAGGAATGGGAGGCACTCAGGACTGATGCCAGGAATGGTAGGCACTCAGGGCTGATGCCAGGAATGGGAGGCACTCAGGGCTGATGCCAGGAATGGGAGGCACTCAGGGCTGATGCCAGGAATGGGAGGCACTCAGGGATGATGCCAGGAATGGTAGGCACTCAGGGCTGACGCCAGGAATGGTAGGCACTCAGGACTAATGCCAGGAATGGTAGGCACTCAGGCCTGATGCCAGGAATGGTAGGCACTCAGGGCTGATGCCAGGAATGGTAGGCACTCAGGACTGATGCCAGGAATGGTAGGCACTCAGTACTGATGCCAGGAATGGTAGGCACTCAGGACTGATGCCAGGAATGGTAGGCACTCAGGACTGATGCCAGGAATGGTAGGTACTCAGGACTGATGCCAGGAATGGGAGGCACTCAGGGCTGATGCCAGGAATGGGAGGCACTCAGGGCTGATGCCAGGAATGGTAGGCACTCAGGGATGATGCCAGGAATGGTAGGCACTCAGGACTGATGCCAGGAATGGTAGGCACTCAGGACTGATGCCAGGAATGGTAGGCACTCAGGACTGATGCCAGGAATGGGAGGCACTCATTACTGATGCCAGGAAAGGTAGGCACTCAGGACTGATGCCAGGAATGGGAGGCACTCAGGACTGATGCCAGGAATGGGAGGCACTCAGGACTGATGCCAGGAATGGTAGGCACTCAGGACTGATGCCAGGAATGGTAGGCACTCAGGACTGATGCCAGGAATGGGAGGAACTCAGGACTGATGCCAGGAATGGGAGGAACTCAGGACTGATGCCAGGAATGGTAGGTACTCAGGACTGATGCCAGGAATGGTAGGCACTCAGGACTGATGCCAGGAATGGGAAGCACTGAGGACTGATGCCAGGAATGGTAGGCACTCAGGACTGACGCCAGGAATGGTATGCACTCAGGCCTGATGCCAGGAATGGTAGGCACTCAGGCCTGATGCCAGGAATGGTAGGCGCTCAGGGCTGATGCCAGGAATGGTAGGTACTCAGGACTGATGCCAGGAATGGGAGGCACTCAGGGCTGATGCCAGGAATGGGAGGCACTCAGGGCTGATGCCAGGAATGGTAGGCACTCAGGGGTGATGCCAGGAATGGTAGGCACTCAGGACTGATGCCAGGAATGGTAGGCACTCAGGACTGATGCCAGGAATGGTAGGCACTCAGGACTGATGCCAGGAATGGGAGGCACTCATTACTGATGCCAGGAAAGGTAGGCACTCAGGACTGATGCCAGGAATGGGAGGCACTCAGGACTGATGCCAGGAATGGGAGGCACTCAGGACTGATGCCAGGAATGGTAGGCACTCAGGGCTGATGCCAGGAATGGTAGGCACTCAGGACTGATGCCAGGAATGGGAGGCACTCAGGACTGATGCCAGGAATGGTAGACACTCAGGACTGATGCCAGGAATGGTAGACACTCAGGACTGATGCCAGGAATGGTAGGCACTCAGGACTGACGCCAGGAATTGTAGGCACACAGGACTGATGCCAGGAATGGGAGGCACTCAGGACTGATGCCAGGAATGGGAGGCACTCAGGACTGATGCCAGGAATGGTAGGCACTCAGGACTGACGCCAGCAATGGTAGGCACTCAGGGCTGATGCCAGGAATGGTAGGCACTCAGGGCTGATGCCAGGAATGGTAGGCACTCAGGACTGACGCCAGGAATGGTAGGCACTCAGGACTGACGCCAGGAATGGTAGACACTCAGGACTGACGCCAGGAATGGTAGGCACTCAGGGCTGATGCCAGGAATGGTAGGCACTCAGGACTGATGCCAGGAATGGTAGGCACTCAGGACTGATGCCAGGAATGGTAGGCACTCAGGACTGATGCCAGGAATGGTAGGCACTCAGGACTGATGCCAGGAATGGTAGGCACTCAGGGCTGATGCCAGGAATGGTAGGCACTCAGGGCTGATGCCAGGAATGGTAGGCACTCAGGGCTGATGCCAGGAATGGTAGGCACTCAGGACTGATGCCAGGAATGGTAGGCACTCACGGCTGATGCCAGGAATAGTAGGCACTCACGGCTGATGCCAGGAATAGTAGGCACTCAGGGCTGATGCCAGGAATGGTAGGCACTCAGGGCTGATGCCAGGAATGGTAGGCACTCAGGACTGATGCCAGGAATGATAGGCACTCAGGACTGATGCCAGGAATGGTAGGCACTCAGGGCTGATGCCAGGAATGGGAGGCACTCAGGGCTGATGCCAGGAATGGTAGGCACTCAGGGGTGATGCCAGGAATGGTAGGCACTCAGGACTGATGCCAGGAATGGTAGGCACTCAGGACTGATGCCAGGAATGGTAGGCACTCAGGACTGATGCCAGGAATGGGAGGCACTCATTACTGATGCCAGGAATGGTAGGCACTCAGGACTGATGCCAGGAATGGGAGGCACTCAGGACTGATGCCAGGAATGGCAGGCACTCAGGACTGATGCCAGGAATGGTAGGCACTCAGGGCTGATGCCAGGAATGGTAGGCACTCAGGACTGATGCCAGGAATGGGAGGCACTCAGGACTGATGCCAGGAATGGTAGACACTCAGGACTGATGCCAGGAATGGTAGACACTCAGGACTGATGCCAGGAATGGTAGGCACTCAGGACTGACGCCAGGAATGGTAGGCACACAGGACTGATGCCAGGAATGGGAGGCACTCAGGACTGATGCCAGGAATGGGAGGCACTCAGGACTGATGCCAGGAATGGTAGGCACTCAGGACTGACGCCAGCAATGGTAGGCACTCAGGGCTGATGCCAGGAATGGTAGGCACTCAGGGCTGATGCCAGGAATGGTAGGCACTCAGGACTGACGCCAGGAATGGTAGGCACTCAGGACTGACGCCAGGAATGGTAGGCACTCAGGACTGACGCCAGGAATGGTAGGCACTCAGGGCTGATGCCAGGAATGGTAGGCACTCAGGGCTGATGCCAGGAATGGTAGGCACTCAGGACTGATGCCAGGAATGGTAGGCACTCAGGGCTGATGCCAGGAATGGTAGGCACTCAGGGCTGATGCCAGGAATGGTAGGCACTCAGGGCTGATGCCAGGAATGGTAGGCACTCAGGGCTGATGCCAGGAATGGTAGGCACTCAGGGCTGATGCCAGGAATGTTAGGCACTCAGGACTGATGCCAGGAATGGTAGGCACTCACGGCTGATGCCAGGAATAATAGGCACTCAGAGCTGATGCCAGGAATGGTAGGCACTCAGGGATGATGCCAGGAATGGTAGGCACTCAGGGCTGATGCCAGGAATGGTAGGCACTCAGGACTGATGCCAGGAATGATAGGCACTCAGGACTGATGCCAGGAATGGTAGGCACTCAGGGCTGATGCCAGGAATGGTAGGCACTCAGGACTGATGCCTTGAATGGTAGGCACTCAGGGCTGATGCCAGGAATGGTAGGCACTCAGGGCTGATGCCAGGAATGGTAGGCACTCAGGGCTGATGCCAGGAATGGTAGGCACTCAGGGCTGATGCCAGGAATGGTAGGCACTCAGGGCTGATGCCAGGAATGGTAGGCACTCAGGGCTGATGCCAGGAATGGTAGGCACTCAGGGCTGATGCCAGGAATGGTAGGCACTCAGGACTGATGCCAGGAATGGTAGGCACTCAGGACTGATGCCAGGAATGGTAGGCACTCAGGGCTGATGCCAGGAATGGTAGGCACTCAGGGCTGATGCCAGGAATGGTAGGCACTCAGGGCTGATGCCAGGAATGGTAGGCACTCAGGGCTGATGCCAGGAATGGTAGGCACTCAGGGCTGATGCCAGGAATGGTAGGCACTCAGGGCTGATGCCAGGAATGGTAGGCACTCAGGGCTGATGCCAGGAATGGTAGGCACTCAGGGCTGATGCCGGAATGGTAGGCACTCAGGACTGATGCCAGGAATGGTAGGCACTCAGGACTGATGCCAGGAATGGTAGGCACTCAGGACTGATGCCAGGAATGGTAGGCACTCAGGACTGATGCCAGGAATGGTAGGCACTCAGGACTGATGCCAGGAATGGTAGGCACTCAGGACTGATGCCAGGAATGGTAGGCACTCAGGGCTGATGCCAGGAATGGTAGGCACTCAGGACTGATGCCAGGAAACTTAGGGTATCATTAACTTCTTGATCCAGGAACCTTCCACCAGCATCAATCCTTGAAGTTAAGACATTCAAGGAAAGCCACGTTATTATATATAAAAATGGTTATAACAATGAAAATAATTTTTAAATAGATGGACCGGTAAGCCAGCGGCAGGCTTCGGTCAGATGACGAAAAACTCCAACGGCGGGTCATCATCAGTAAACACTTGTCCTGTTTCCTGACGAATCTTACCTAACCAAACCTAGCCACATTATTATTATTGACAAATTGTAGAGCTATGGTAGATTACACTGATGGGGAAGTGCTAAACCCGTAGGAGTCATACAGCACCTAAGGGATACATTCTGTGACAATTGATGGATAATTATAAAATAATGGTAGTGTGGGAGGGGTGTCGGTACTCGCATCCCGTTGAGGGAGATTTATATGGTGTTAGAGATGAGGTTTGTCAGGAAACAGAAGTGTTTCCTAACGCGGGTTTTAGTCATATGACGACCCACAGCTGGAGCTTTTGGTTACGACTTTTTGTATGGTGTGTATCCCAGTAAAGAAGAGTTGTTGGGAAGGCAAATGAATATTTGCTTTCGTCAGTAAATAAATGAACATGTTGAAGACAAAGTGGCTGCATCAGTAACTTTTATCCTTACAGTGTCCATGTGTTGAGCTTAGAAGTTGACCTTTGTCTTGCCTACTATTCTTAGCTGTACGGCTTCTGGTTCCAACTAAATACAAGCCGGTACAATAATTTGTTTATTTACACTATTAATACCTTACATGTTACGCGTACAAGTTTGATGCAGAACACAACAGTGAACTTAAATAGAACATATACATTCATGAGATATAGAAACCTGGCTCTTCCCTTACATTTAGTACAGCTGAGCCTTTTAGGGAATTTGTTAGCTACAAATTTGAGCTTTTACACAAATAGGAAGCTTCAAAGATTTTTCGGTCGTGTTTTTTATATCTATGATGGTGGGTTATTAAGGGTCAGGTACAAGTGATGGGCGACGCCAGGCGGCCGCTTCACCTCGCCACATCACTTTACTGAAAAATGAAAAGGAGACATAATGTAGTGTCTTGCTTAGATATGATAACAAAATATTTTGTAGATCAATAAAATGAAAATAGTAAATATTAAAAACTATTAAAAATTATATCGTGGAAAATTGATCACGAACATAGTTTAGCGTGTAGCTACAAATGAATAGGTAATAATACACGCAGGAACTAAGTTCAGGAATCAACTAGAGTATATCATTGTGTGAGAATAATGACAAAATAAACAAGAGAAATACAAACTAAGGAGAAAAGAATACCGCATAAAAAAAATCTATAGAGACTTCAGGCATGGTAGAATAATGATTGTTGGAAGGTAACACGAGTAAGAGTAAGATTAAGAAGCTAGGGTATAAGAAGAGGCCTAAAACAGTATCATCTACTGGGGAGACCTAAACAGTATCTACTGGGGAGAGATGAAAACTACCAAGGGTAGAGCTCAGTCTGTAGATGTATGTCAGCATCTGAGGAATGGGAGCTTTGATCTATAGAAGATAAGGGTAACTCAAAATTTTAGATCAAGAAGTAGACCTTTATTAGAATAAAGGCGCCCACCCGTCTTAATGGGCTGACTTCGTCTATTAGGGATCCAGGACTGACATTAACCTTATATGAAAGTTTTATCTCTAACTTTTTACATTTATAATAAGTGAAACAGATATACAATGACGAAGTAGTCGTACATGATTATTAATACCATAAAAATTCATAGTTTATTTCTATAAAGGCAAATAACTGTACTTTAATGCCGTCCTCATGTAAACAAAAGGTCACACCTGCTGAGTGGGCAGGTGAGTGGAACTGTGCTGACGGAGGCACTTGATATCATCTTTGGCGAACTTGAAGAAGAGAACGTAGACGACGAAGGCTAGAGAGCACAGTGTAGCTGGAATCACATCGTTCATCAGTGAGAACCACACCACCAGTACACCATTAAACAGTACCACCACCATGGTAGCGAACCACCACAGCCACTCTGGACCAGTCGTCTCCTCAAACCGCTTCTTCATGTGCACGGAAATTCAGAATATTACTTTTTATGAAAATGCTAAATACGAGAGGGTCGAAACGACCGAGAAATAAGGGGTGTTAATCAGGTTTAATCCTAGGAAGAGGAGACTAGCTCCAGTTTCTTGAGTCGAAGTCCTCCACCAACATTAAGGCACCTGAAGGAGGGAATTTATAAAATGTTGAAATAAAACAGTAATAAACACTGGACAACAGCAAATAATCCCACACTTGATTACCTCCACTTCCCCGGGCAATGTATTAACCCTGATGGGTTTTGCGCTTTCTTGAAAACAGTAATTACAAAAAAGTATTAAACAGAAGGCGAGTAGGTATATAACATTTACTGGGAAACTGGAAACACGTAAGGGTAATACAGTCCCTGAGAATGAGGTAATCAGGTTTATTTCGAGGAGGAGGAGGAAAGCTTCAATTCCTCGGATAAAGAGCTCATCACCAGTATGAAAAAACACCATTAATGAGACTGACCTCATAGAGGAGGAAGAGAAGTCTGCCAGTAAGGAAGATGTAGACGGCAGTCACAGCTGCCATCCCAGCACACATCCCCAACACTGTTAACACAACATTCTTTTATGTTGTTACTGAACTGCTGCAGAATTTTTAACATATATAGACATTGTAATATAAATATACTATATTCATGGTAGTGTTAATCTGATATGGGAGAAAATCAGCGTCGATCAAAAGAGAAAGTTTCTTAGCTGAAGATCCCCGCACTTGGATTAAGGTTTTCCAGTGAAGGGGAAGGTACGTATATGTAGGCTTGGAGAATTCATGTTTTAAATATATGAGAAATTATCCAGATTCGTCTTTCATTGGAAAATTAAACTTCTTTGAAACGTCGCCATAAGTTCTAGTTTCTCCAGCGTGTGTAATCTGAATATTGTTCCAGTCATGGTACTGCCTTGTGATTATTTATCTGTTTGCGCTTCCTTCCTCTCAGCTTTACATTCACATTTCAAATTTGTGGCTTATTTATTTCATTGGGATACATTATAACTGGCTAATTTTCATTAAATGACAACTTTACGTTATCAAACCTAAATAGCGTGAATCGAGAAATTTGATAAAAGAACAGTAAGCCATATGCATTCCATATTTTCCACCTTCACAAAAATGCATTCTAGCTTCCTGTAGAATGATGTAGGTGCTAAGCTATCATCACTGTTTAATGCTCATCCATCCCCCGTCATGTTATTGCCTTAACCTTTCTGTCACTTATGACATGAGATTTAACTAAAAGTCTTTCCTTGCAGCTCCTGCCCTTCAAACATTTCTCGACTGGTATGGACGACTGAGTGGGTTCCAGGCTGCTTCTGCGTATTAGAAGGTTTCAGGGGTCAACGCCCCCGCGGCCCGGTCTGATACCAGGCCTCGTGGTGGATCAGCGTTTGATCAACCAGATTGCTACTGCTGGCCGCACGCAAACTGACGTACGAACCACAGCTCGGTTGGTCAGGTACTGACTTTAGATGCCTGTCCAGTGCCTTCCTGAAGACAGTCAGGGGTCAATTGGTAATCCCCCTATTGTATGCTGGGAGGCAGCTGAACAGTCTTGGGCCCCTGACACTTATTGCGTTGTGTCTCAGTGTACTCGTGGCGCCCCTGCTTTTCATTGAGGGAATGTTGCAATACCTGCCGAGTCTTTTGCTTTCATAGGGAGTGATTTTCGCGTGCAAGTTTGGTACTAATCCCTCTAGGATTTTCCAAGTGTATATTATCATGTATCTCTCTCTCGCCTGCATTCCAGGGAATACAAATCAAGGGACTTCAACCGTTCCAAGTAATTTTGCTTTATCATACTTACGTGTGACGTGAAAGTTCCTTGTACACTCTCCAGGTCAGCAATTTTGCCTGCCTTGAAGGGGGCCGTTAGTGTACAGTAGTATTCCAGCCTAGACAGAACAAGCAATTTGAAGAGAATCATTATGGGCTTGGCGTCCCTATTCATCCTATCATTTTTCTAGCAGATGCAGCAGATACATTGTTGTGGTCCCTGAAGGTGAGATCATCTGACAGTTTCACTCCCAGGTCCTTCACATTACTTTTTCACTCTATTGTATGGTTAGAATTTGTTGTATACCCTGATACAGTTTTAATTTTCTCAAGTTTTCCATATGTGAAGAGTTTAAATTTCTCTTCACTGAACTTCATATTGTTTTTGAGCGGCCCATTTGAAGATTTGGTTGATGTCCGCTTGGAGTCTGCTGTGTGCCAGCTATTTTTTTTTTTTGTATGCATTTGACAGCAAATTACAGGATTAATATTTGTAAACTAATATTTATCTCGTTTATATTAAACAAATAATTTTAAGATTAAAATAAAATAGATTTACTTTATTTTTTATGAGTATATTAATGTTTAAAATGCATAAAATTATGTTAGATAAAAGAATACAAGTGCAACTAATGTGACATTTTGTGTCAACGTTTCGCTCTCCAGGAGCTTGATAAAGCTCCTGAAGAGCGAAACGTTGCCATGATAAAATGTCACATTAGTTGCATATAATTATATAAAGTGCTCAAAGGTCACTACCCCTGAGGGAACTGCACCTGTGACCTGCCAGACAACAGTAGTAACTGTGTCCGTGGCAGGTAGTGTGAATGTGATTGGTGGGTGTTGAGTACCCTGATTGGCTAGTGGGCATAGGAGAGGTGCCTTGAGTGGCTGGTGGGTAAGGAAGAAGTACCCTGAATGGTGAGTGAATGAGGAATACCCTGAGTGGCTAGCGAGTGAGGGAGGAGTAAATACCCTGATTGTCGCGGTGCTCCGGAGTGATGACCAAGTGTAGCATCAGTAGGTACATCACCACCTGCCCCAGCGCCATCACCTGAAACACAAGACACTTTACTACACTGATCTTATTGAATTTTTAGAGAAAGAGCTAAACTCTTAGGGTTCATACAGTATCTGGGGGAGAGGGGGGCAATCAGATTCAATCCAAGGAAGGGGAAGTCAGAACATATTCCTTGGATCAAGAGGATCTCACTAGCGTCAAGGAATTTTCCTTGGTGGGATGGTGTGATGGAACAAGGTATTCTTGGTCCCCATGCAGGCTCCTCTTTTACAAGAAGCAGTTAGGTAAGTCTTTTACAGAACTGTGCTCAAGGCTCACTTACTGCAACAATTCTGTGGTGAAGAATGAAACGTGTGTTATTAAGATTAATTATATTAGAAGTAAGTTGTACATAAATCAAATGATGCTGTGTTGAGCAGTATGGGAGTGAACTGTCAATCATGTGAAAGCTTTAAGTTTATAGTGAACTGGTGTATTGAAGGGTGCAGGGGGGAGTTAAGGGGTGTTGTAATCGTTTCCTAAAACCATTACAATACCCCTTAAGCGCTAAACCCGTAGCAATTATAAAGTGTGGAAAGTGGGAGGTAATCAGGTTTAATCTAACGAAGGGGAGAGGTGACCAATTCCCTTGAATCAAAAACTTTAAGAAAAATCTCTTCCAAAATCTGGTAATTGGGCTTACCATACTGATGATACCCAACCAGTATACTCGTTGTCTCGCTCCGTCATGGGCACTCTTCTTCTCGAAAAACTTCATCATACTGCACCACTAACGTTTGCAATAAGCACCCTTAGATTATCTATACCAGTACCAGCACCACCGACGCCACTGAACACCCCTGGCTGGTTCACATGTATCGCTTTTTGTGCCACTGGCGTCGCTAGACACCTCTGGTTGGTCCACATGTATCACTTTCTGGGCCACTGGCGCCGCTAAACACCCCTGGCTGGTTCACATGTATCACTTTCTGTGCCACTGACACCGCTAGACACCCCTGGCAAGGTCACTTAAATAAATGACTGCCTGCATCACTACTGAGACAAAGCGAGCCTCTGTACTCACACTTCACCTCGTCTGCCTCACATTTGTTAATTAATGTCACTTTCAGGTACGGTTGATTGCAACTTTGCTAATAAGTTAAGTTTAAACGCTAGTTATTAATGGTCGTATTACAATATTACCAAACAACAGAGTGAATGAAAGAAAGGCTGGTGTGTAGTAAAGAGGACCCAGCTAGTACGTGTGAGCTACTGTGCCGAGACTTCCTTCATATTGTAGTCTTATCTACGCTTGTATCTGATAATGATTAGATAGCAACCTTTTGCAAATTTTTATTGTGCGATTAACTGATTAGGAGTCGAAAGTGACCATAATAGGTTTCATATGTAAAACTTATTTTCTAAACTTTTAGTGCTGCGTACCTCGGGCCACAAAGTGGCCAAGTAGATTGTTATCGTCATGTAAACTCCGAATCCATTTGACAGTTATAATTTATCTTCACACATTGTTGGCACAAGCTTTCTAGGTCATCAGATGAAACCAGACATCGAATTCTTTCCACCTAAGTATCTAAATAAGCCAGGACTCGCAACAATCGATTCAAGTTGGACAAATTTTCATTTTGAAAGGACATAGGTAAGTACTGGTTTGGCAAAAAGAGCTGTAGATGAGTACAGTAAAATCCCACAGCGTCACTGAAACGAGAACTTTGGGCAGCTTTAAATATGTGTTGGACAGATATCTGAGTGGGTATGAATTAGACCTTCCTAGCATGGGTTAGAAGACCCACTGCAGTGTTCATTCATATTCTTACCCATTTTCCTGGATGCCTAGTACATGTAAAATGTAACCTTAATGATTCTTGTGCCTTGTGTCGTTTATTAAATTTAAAGCCTAACTCCTGTATAATACGAATCATTAAGGCTACAAATCACATACACTAACATCAAGAATAATTAAATCTCCAAAATAAGAGATGAAAGTGAAAACTGTGACCTATATAGTCACAAACCTCTACATACATCAAGACTTGTATATTACTATTATATTTAGGAGGAAGTGTTAAATTCGCATCACCTGGGGGAACGGAAAGCAATTAAGTCTAATTAAAAGGGGAGGATAAGACCATTTCCTCTGATCAAGAGCCCCTTCCACCATTAAGGAGCTTCCCATGAGGGGGGGGGGTAGCTCTTTTAAAATATTAAAGTTCTATTCCTAATTGCTAGTATACAGGTGATATGCAGTCTTAAGTTTAAAGCTCACTAATTTAACTGTTTAAGTATGGAGCAATGTAGTGGGTTTTATCTTGTAGAATAAACTGATGACATACCTCTTAGTGTGCGGTGTCCATACATAATGTTAGGTTAGGTTAGGTAGGTAGACTTCCTGACGTGGGTCTTAGTCGTATGATGATCCGCAGCTGGAGCTCTTGATCATCTGACCGAGGCCTTCTACTGGCTTACCGGTCCACCCCTTTAAATTATTATTATTATTATTATTATTATTATTATTATTATTATTTATCAAAAGGAAGCGCTAAACCTCCACCCCTTTAAAAATTATGGTTATAATTATAACTACGTATTAGATATTACTGTGTACCTCTAGTACATAAAGTATTACATTCCTCTTACATTCTCAATGTGGACTGACTCACTAAAATATTAATATTAATCATAATTAATATGTTGCAATTATTTAAAATTCGTAAAATATTTTTCGGATGGCTAAATAAAGAAGTTTGGAAATGTAATGCAAACTCTCTCGCCACTCAGCCATGTTGCCAATAAAAAGTTAATTAACTAAAACAAATTTATACAGACCTTGTGTTTTGGCTCTTCGCTGGCAAGTCTAAATTTTTTATATTTTTTCAATCATTGGGAAGCAATCAACAAATTATTAAATATTCATATTTATATTCAGATAGAAACCAATTATTTCAACGGGATGATTGATTTCGATACGAGGTTGGGAAGGTGTGAACCCTTCACTGTCTTGAGTGTAGAGAGACACTAAGGATCTCACCATCATGGTAGCTCCTGCTGTGGTCGTTAGCAGTGCTGACGCTGCTGCTCCCTCGGGTTGTCTAAAGTTAGGAGTGACTAATGTAAGTTTGAAAACACATGTAGTAAAAGGTAATATTTATTGGCAAGACGTTTCACTTGCATGATAAGCCTCGTGTAGGTGAAATATCTTACAAATAAAGATATGTATAGAGATCACATAAGCCTAGTACTTCTCCGACCTGTGGTAAGGCTTACACTGATGGAAGGGGTCCCAAACGCAACCTATATTTATATTAACAAATACAATGTGAATTCTGAAAATGTTGGACTAGTCATACCTGACCCTATTGGCACCGCGATTATTTTTGAATTTCGTTAACGATTAGACTGAGCTAAGCTCCATTCTTGGATCAAACATGATTACCTCTCGATCTTCTGGCACTTCGTTCCCCGTTATTAAGAGCTTCTCATTGTAGTTTCCAGGATTCATCAGCGTCAACATGTCTGGAGGTCCTATGCATGTGTTCGGTCCACTTGTTTACATCCATAACCTCCTCGCCGCCTACCTAAATACCTGGTGAGTTCCTGGTACCTCATGGTTTTTCTAGTCGTCCTCCAGTCTCTCTAGCCGTCTTCTGGTCTCGTTAGCGTCCCCTGGTATCGCTAGCCATCCTCTGGTCTCATTAGCAGTCCTCTGGTCTCTGTAACGAAACCCTTTAGTTTTAATAATGGCACAGTTTGACGGCAGTATTTTTTTAACCAGTTGAAGCAGTAAACCCATCAAGGTAATACACAGGACCTGTGAAAGTTGGGGAACATGTGTGTCAAATAAAGTTGGTAGAATTACCGACAATATGTAAAGTAAAAGGACACAAGTGCAACTAATGTGACATTTTATTGTGGCAACGTTTCGCTCTCCAGGAGCGAAACGTTGCCACAATAAAATGTCACATTAGTTGCACTTGTGTCCTTTTACTCAACATGTGTGTCAATGTAGTAGAATTGGTATAACAATCTGCTTTCTGCTCTATTTTATTTATTATTGGAATGAGGGATGCCTCTAAACACTGACATCACCTGTGATAGACATGCTGGCCCATCCTAGGCAGGCCTTTCTCAGATATTTAGCCAATATATTATAAAGCTACCCAATTACGTCACATGGTGATCCAACATTTGTTGGATCACCTCACTAAATTCCACCTTACCTTACATATTCTAGTCCCTATATAAACCTGTTTCTCAAGCCCTATGTATAGAATAAATAAGATTCCAGCACTGATACGTTTCCATAATTGTCCTAAGTGTTTGTTCATTATGTGATGATACCGATAAAATGCGGAAGAGAACACTTGTGGACAGTTTCTGGATATTCATTAGGACTGATGATTACCCCCCACAGGATAGGAATGGGGTGGATACCTCCTACAGAATGAGTATGGGGTGACTACCGCTCACAGGATAAGTATGGGGGCATAATAATAATATTAAACTATTAAACTAACATGCCAAGTTTGACTCTTTTTGTGCCGGCAGTGTGGACTACGTGATACCACACGATCATGTCTATGGGATCCAGCTGGACAATGGCACCTGGAATGGCATTATGGGTCAGGTCACACGCAAGGTCAGTATTGAATCTGATGATCAGGTCACACTTAAGATCAGTATTAAAGTTAGTAGTCAATTCACACACAAGGTCAGTAATACAATTGGTGGTCTATTCAGTTTCTGACGCGAGTTAAGAACAAATAATTTTCACGGTGACAGTTTGTGGACATGGCAAGTTGTTTTTCCTGGTTAATAACTTTTTCAGAGCCGATTCACTATGAGTGAGATCACGGGAAACATACTCAGCACTAAACCTATACATGAATGGCTGATTCATTACTTACCGCCACTCGATACTGAGTCACAAAATTCGTATTGATTGCTATGTACATTTCGATAATTATATACAATAAATGTACTTTTTCCAGTCTTTGGAGGCAATAATCTCACCAACAAGCTAACATTCTTCACTGATTATTCCTACTTAAGAAGCAAAAATGAGTTGAATTATACAGCACCATGAAGGATGACAATTGAACTAAACTTGACGTGAGGCAATGTACAACAGGAGGTGGATATGTCTGGGACGTTGATGTACATGGACGCTAGCAGGCAGAGAGCTGTAGACAACCAGCGTGGCGCTCTTTATCAACGACAAGATCCTCACTTACAAGCGGCCCGTCCCACAGGCTGACCTGGCTGGCTTCCTCAAGCCTTTCACCCCCATGGTAAGACAAACCACTGCTAACTAAATAATAGTCTGTCAGCATTAATATATGTGAAACGCTAAGCCCATGTGGGTCGTTGAGTAAGACACATGTGTAACATTAGATTTAGCTTCCCCCTGATTAAAAGAAAACATTTCTGAACAGCATCTTTCTTAAATGGCAGATGTATCTTATGAAACCTATAAGACTTTTTTTTGTGGGGTTTAGGCTGTGTAGAGGCAAACTTGTTTTAATTCTGTACATTAGCTGGAGAATTCATTATCTGGTTACCTGGAGTATATCTGGAGAGGGTTCAATGCCTCAGCGGCCCGGTCTGTGACCAGGCTTCATGGTGGATCAGGGCCTGATTAACCAGTCTGTTACTGTTGGCCGCACGCAAACCAACGTACGAACCACAGCCCGGCTGGTCAGGTACTGACTTTAGGTGCCTGTCCAAAGCCTTCTTGAAGACAGCCAGGGGTCTATTGGTAATCCCCCTTATGTATGCTGGGAGGCAATTGAATAGTCTTGGGCCCCTGACACTTATTGTGATGTCTCTTATCGTGCTAGTGATCCCCCTGCTTTTCATTGGGGGGGGGATGTTGCATCGTCTGCTTTCATAGGGAGTGATTTTCGTGTGCAAATTTGGTACTAATCCCTCTAGGATTTTCCGAGTGTATATAATCATGTATCTCTCCCGCCTGCGTTCCAGGGAGTACAGGTCGAGGAACTTCAAACGTTCCCAGTAATTTAGGTGTTTTATCGCACTTACGTGTGCCGTGAAGGTTCTCTGTACATTTTCTAGGTCAGCAATTTCACCTGCCTTGAAAGGTGCTGTTAGGGTGTAGCAATATTCCAGCTTAGATAGAACAAGTGACAAGAAGAGTGTCATCGTGTGCTTGGCATTCCGAATTTTGAAGGTTCTCATTATCCATCCTGTCATTTTTGTAGCGGAGGCGATTGATACAATGTTATGGTCTTTGAAAGTGAGATCCTCTGATACGTTCACTCCCAGGTCTTTTACATAAGTTTTTTACTCTATTATGTGGTTGGAATTTGCTTTATACTCCGATGTAGTTTTAATTTCCTCACGTTTTCCATATCGGAGTAATTGGAATTTCTCGTCATTGAACTTCACATTGTTTCCTGCAGCCCATTTAAAGATTTGATTGATGTCCACCTGGAGTCTTGCAGTGTCTTCAGTGGAGGACACTGTCATGCAAATTCGGGTGTCATCTGCAGAGGAAGACACGGTGTTGTGGCTTATAACCCTGTCTATGTCAGCTATGAGGATGTGGAACAGGATGCGAGCAAGTACTGTGCCTTGTGGAACAGAGCTTTTCACAGTAGCCGCCTCAGACTTTACTCTGGTTACTACTACTCTTTGTGTTATGTTTGTTAGGAAATTATAGATCCATCTACCAACTTTTCCTGTTATTCATTTTCATGCATTTTGTGAGCTATTATACCATGGTCACACCTGTCAAAGGCTTTTGCAGAGTCTATGTATACCACATCTGCGTTTTGTTTGTCTTCTAGAGCATCCAGGACCTTGTCATAGTGGTCCAGTAGTTGGACAGACAGGAACGACCTGCTCTAAACCCATGCTGCCCTGGGTTGTGTAACTGATGGGTGTCTAGATGAGTGGCGATCTTGCTTCTTAGAGCCGTTTCAAAGATTTTATTGATATGGGACGTTAGCACAATCGGTCTGTAGTTCTTTGCTTTACTGCCCCCTTTGTGGAGTAGGGCTATGTCTGTTGTTTTTAGTAACTGTGGGACGACCTCTGTGTTTATACTCCGTCTCATTGATTTTAGGTTGTGTAAGCTTTACTGTGTAAATTTTATTAAACATATTACTTTCCATGAAAAACTGGAAAATGTCTCTTCTGATCACGAATAAATCACAGGGTTTGACTTTATTGGGTTCTCCTAGGTTAAATATACATGTAATTTTTTAGTGCCCTTAGTTAACGTCTGTTTGCCTCTAAAACTACTATAAAAATTAAATGCTATATACTCAGAGCCTATATAGTAATTGCTTACATATTTATGTATTCCTTAACCACTGTCAGTCTTACTGGCAGAACAGTCTGGATTTTGACCAGTGTAAGTCCCTATGTAAGTCCCTGTCTGTCATTTTATGGAGAAAACTGCGAGGATTGAAATACTGTTTTTTATGCGAAAATTCCTGAATGCCTCTTATAACCTCATTAATGATAACTTGATAATGCAGCTTCTGAGTGGATTCAAACTTAATGTGCTGGTGTATTTTGGCACTGTATATTGTTCTCTCTGAGATAACAAGAGTATACCTTTTCGGTATGGCTTCAAATTGGCTGTTTCTTAATGGAAGGCTTAAATTGGTTTTGGTAGTGTATCGCTTAATTTGCCATTTTTTTTATTGAATTGGGATGTTAATTTCCATGTGATAACTTGTGAGTGCCTTTTCTGATTTGCCTCAGATCTATCATACTAATATTTAGCTGAATTAGCAGCTTGTGCCACACTCTGCAGGTTAGGTCAGGTTCGTCAGGAAACAGGACAGGTGTTTTCTGACGAGGGTCTTAGTCATATGATGACCCGCCGGTGGAAGTTTTCGTCATATGTCCGAGGCCTTCCGCTGGCTTACAGATCTACCCCTTTAAAAATTATGGTTATAAGTTTATCCACACTGCACTTTCGCTATCGCGCCCATTGCAATTAGTGTAATTACAATTGAGAGTCTTGTGCCTTTTTTATATTATTAGATTAAACTCAGTTGTACTATAGTCAATACCAAATTCATTATATTAGACCATAGTGCAATTACTAGTGAGAGACTGGTGCTATTTTTAATTTGTATTTTTATATTACTAGTTTATACCTAGTTGTACTTTAGTTCATTCCAGCACAACACATAGACAACATCAACTTCATTATGTGTAGTAGTGACTATACTCTGTATGACCAAAATACTCTAGCTATATACTTGTCCAAACTTCCCACCACTACAGATATCAGTACTAAAACTCAACACACAACTCAGGATATAAATAACCATAATTTAAACCTAGAAGATGATTGATCACGTTGACCCTGATCTAAACCTCCATAATCTGACACCCAATCAAAACCTATTGGAAAGTAACTGCCTTTATTACACAGCATCACAAGCCAGCACTATCCTAAACAATGCTAAAAGTCTATCAGTACTTAACTACAACATCAGGTCCTTAAGCAAACATTATGATGACCTCCTGGCACTCCTTGAATCACTAAAGACACCCTTCTCCTGCATTATTCTTACTGAGACCTGGCTTAAGCAGGACACAATAGATATCTACCCCCTACCAGGATACACAACAATTCACAACTGCAGACCAAGCCAAGTTGGGGGTGGTATTGCAATCTATTACTCTAACCAATTGTCTTGTATTAGCACCACTTGCTTTAGTGATGAATATGGGGAATACATTTTTGCTAATTTTACTGTAAAAAACCTTAAGACACCTATAACAATCGGTGCCATTTACCGGATACCTCACACAAACATCCCAAATTTCAGTGAGAAATTAAAGTCACTAATAACAAACAGACAAATGAATAAGCACCACCTTCTCTTAGCTGGAGACTTCAACATCAACCTTGGCATACTAGATGATCAGCCTGTAACTGATTTCATCAACAATATGAACAACACACTTCTCATACCAACAATAACTAAACCAACCAGGCTCACTGAGACAAGTGCAACCAGAATAGACCACATATGGACCAATATACTAGCCCCCCTTAAATCAGGGATAACCACAGATAGCACTACAGACCACTACCCTACCTTCCTCCTGACAAACATTAGTAAACCACCACATGAATACAACAAAGTCTCATTTAGACTCCATGATGAGGCCTCAATAAGGAAGTTCACAGCTGACCTAGAGACTGTTGACTGGCCTACAGAATTCTCCAAGGCTAATGGTATTGATGACTGGACAGACATTTTTCTTAACAAATTACTTAGACTATACAACAAACATTGTCCTATAAAAACGAAACAGATCACAAACAAACGGCTTGGTTGCCCATGGCTAACCAGCACCATTCTGAAATCCATTGACGAGAAACACCAATATGAAAAGCAATATAGACATGGCTTAATACACAAAGATATTCTTAAACACTATTCATCAGTTCTCACCAAAGTAATAAAAAAAGCCAAACAACTATACTACTACAGTAGATTCACAGACACTAGAGGAGATATAAAAAAGACCTGGAAAACACTCTCTCAGATTCTAGGGACCCACAAACTGAAAAAAAAACAAGAATATTGTCCTAAATAAACCTAATGAAACACCACTACATCCCACTGACACAGCTAACAAGATAAACGACTTCTTCTCAACCATAGGATCTAATCTCGCCAATAAAATCCCACATACCAATGCCCATGCCGGGGACTACCTAGATGGGAATTTCCCAAATTCCTTCTATCTTGCACCAACTGAGCCCACAGAAGTCACCGAGATTATAAAGTCACTTAAAAATAACTCAGGGAATCTGTCTCATGTCCCACCATTACTGTACAAGTGAGCGGCCCATGTCCTTTTGCATGCTATTTCACTACTTTTTAACAAGTCACTAGAAACTAGCACCTTCCCGAAACTACTCAAGATGGCAAGGGTTACACCAATACATAAAGGTGGTGACCCTACAGACTTAAACAACTATAGGCCAATATCAAACTTACCATTGCTATCCAAAATCTTGAGAAACTCGTGCACAGGAGACTATATTCATTTATAACGGCACAAAACATACTCAACCCCTGCCAATTTGGATTCAGGAAAAATAAAAGCACTAATGATGCAATCATAAAAATGCTAGATCTGCTTTACACAGCATTGGAAAATAAGGAATATCCACTAGGAATTTTTATTGACCTAAGAAAAGCTTTTGACACAGTAGACCACGACATCCTACTCCACAAACTTGACCATTACGGTATAAGAGGCCATGCGCTTGCTTATTTCAAATCTT